ATCTGTCTATCAATAGGACAACGCATAAATATAATTTTATTTGATGTAATTTTATTATTTTTTATTCTTTATAAAGTTATTTCAGTTATTTTAATATTATATATATATATATATAAAAGAAACTTATATGACTCATGTCGGGTGTGATGCCAAAAACTACTTCCAAATATTTCAATAAAATTTGTCTCCGGTTTAAAATCATATTTTTAACACACATCAAAATATACCGGTTGTGTAAAAATCATGTTTGACCTATCTTAGACTCAAGTTATGCCTTATGCCCTCCAAATATACTCTCAAATTAGATAGTGAAGGCAAACTCTAGTTATGTAAGCATATGGTTACGTTATTTTACATACTCCTTTAATATATGACTAATTTCATAAAATATTTTTACACCTGATATTAATAAATATTGTTCATAAAATAAAATTATCTTTTTTTTTATAAATAACATATTTTATGGTATTTTTTTTATAAAATATTTTTTGTGTTTATTCACGAATATAAATTATGAAAGTAATAACTCTAAATATATTCTAGCATTGTAGAAGCATACACAATCAATCAAAAGTTCATGATGTATTAAATGATGATAGAATGCTTTAGAAAATTTAACTTGCAATTAATAAAATAGTTTGTTGGTCTATAACAACATAGAACCCCTCATCTAATATAAGTTAGTTGCTAGTAGCTGATTTGTTGGGAGTTCATACTCCTCGTGTTATGACTGTGTAATTCTTTATTTATTTATTTATTTTTTGGTCCCTTTGATTTAAAAAAAAATGATGATGAAGTGTTCACTTTGTAATATTTTTTAGATTTTTGTTATACTTATGAAACATTCTATGATTATTCTAATTTTTTTCTAAATATTATAATTAACAAGTTAATTGGGTGATTGATTACTTTTATTTCCTTTTGAATAGTAAATAAAGCTTGTAGTTCTAAGATTAATGCCATTGAGTTGGGAAGCTAGAACCACATATTGAGTTATTATAAAAAGGAAATGTGTTGAAAAAATATCAATAAAAGAAAAACTATATTTCTATATAGCTTTTTTTTAATGAAAAATAGTACCATGAGTAAGTTCATTAGGGAATAAAAAGAGGGGTGTGTAATTAAGATAATTGATGTAATAAATATTGATAAACAGTAGTATTTATAAAATAAAAAAAAAACTATTGTAATATTTATATTTGCTTTACAATAAAATGAAAGAAAATACAAAATAGAAGTGATAAAAATATTGGTTCAAAATTTAATTCTAAGTTTTATAACGATTTACAACATAATTGAATAAGTAATATTTAAATAATATGATTTTATTTTTTAATATAACATTTTAAGTAATATATATTATACAAATTAAAGCAATGTAATATTCATTACATAACAGTGAAAATTAAAGTTTACTTACAAATATCGTAATTCAATATATTATATTTAAAATTAAATGTCAAAACAAATAAATATGTTATAATATTTAAATCTAATAACCTACATTAATTTTTATTAGCAATTATAGTAAAAAAAACTAAATAAATATAATTGATATAATTATCGAACAATATAATGTTGGACTAAAAATTATATGAGAATCATAATATTAAATATTTAAATTAAAAATAAAAGTGTATTTTCATTAAATCATATCAAAATAGACATATCCAATTTTGTACCAATTTAATCGATTTTTATACTGTATTTTTTTTTTTATAAAGTTGTATCAATTAGTTTAGTGTTAGTTGCTTAGTCTAACTATTAAGTTGGCCTAATCCAGTTATAACAACTTCGTATCACTTGTTCGTGTGAAAGTGATAACATGTATTATACGTATTTTATTTCCATAGGAATATATATCAATGGTTTTTTTTTATAATTATATATGTAAAAAAAATTATCAATTTTATTAATAATGAATGGGATCTCCTTTTTTATTAAATGTAAAATAAATTAAACATGTCATAATATTTAAATATAATAACATACAATAGTTTATATTAATAATTATAATAAGAAATTAAATAAATATAATTGGAATTACTATGTTCGATCTAATGGTAAAAGATTGAGATAAAAAGTATAGGGTATTAGATTTGAATTCCGGTATTATTATTGTAATTCTAACATATTAAAAAATATATATAACAGATATAATTATCAATCAATGTTGGACTAAAATTTTATCAAAATAATAAAATTAAAATTTTAAATTTAATTTTTTTAGCAAATTAGATCCAAACAGCCATGTTTGAAGAAAAAAAAGTTATGTTTTGAACCAATTTAATCAATTTTATACTCTTCATTTTAAAGATTGAGTTTTAAAATTACGTGAATTAAATTAGTTTAGTTTTTGATGTTCAATCTATATGGTAAGTCTAGACCAATTATAAGAACACGAGTAATACTAGAAAAAACAGAGAAGAGAAGAAGAGAATTCTGAGTGTATCACTTGTATGCTGTAATATGATCATCATTAATAAAATTTTTGTAAGTATTCTTATATGAGGATGGTTGGCTAAACTATTTGTGGTAGTTCTTAGGGTGTTATGATTATTTTTTTTAACATATGCGAATGTAATTTAGAACTCTGAACTCTTTTGAGAAAATGGTTTTGCGAAAACCTAGCTAGGATTTGTAAGCCTGAATTCTTCAGGTGTGCCCTTAATAAATATTTCCAAAAGACCTTATGAAAAGAAAAGAGAAACCAATAGTTTGTCTACAAGCTAAAATGAGGCTATTGAATATTGAGTTTCAAAATTACATTAATTAAACTAGTTTAGTGTTTGATGCTCGGTCAATATGGTAAATCAAGACCAATTATAAGAACACAGATAATACTTGTTCGTGTGAAGTGGCAACATGTAATACAAGAATCTATCTATTTACTATGAATAAAAGAAGCTTTTTATCTTTACATTTTCATTACTTTGAAAAATTTTCCTGCTAAAATAAAAGGACTGAATTACAATTTTTTTCCTTCTATTTTTATTGTTTCACAGTTTTGGATTTTCTATTTTAAAATAGAGATATTTAGTCTTCCTATTTTTTAAAATACAAAATTTTAGTCTTTTCATCAATTTAATGTTTTTTTTTTATCATTAAAATTTAATATTTTCTGATGATCTATCACCACTTAACTGATATAATATCTAATAACATGATATATAAAATTAAAAATTAAAATAACATATAAAAGATTTTCATCTGTATCTACTTTTATGAATGATTGATATTTATTTTATTAATAAAAAATAATTTGTATGCTTTTAAAAAAAAATTATTTCTAAATGTCATATTACTAAATATTATATTATTATATAAGTACGAGTAAACATTAAAATTTAATCATTAATAGATATCAATATAGATTGACTAATATTCCATATTTTTTAAATTAGAGGGACTACATGCCTCTTTTGTAAATTTGAAGGACTAAATGGCATACAAGCTTTCATGCATGCTTACAAAATTCATATCCACATAGTCTCTCAATTCACAATCCACTTCACCACTAAATTATACTTAGACCTGTTCACTTACATATATCACAAAATTCATGTTTCACAATATTATAGGCTTGCAATACTTCTCATACATCCACAATTCTCATCCCTAAGCACATCACATACTATTCATCTACTTCACATTACAGAGGTAATTCACTAACTCATTCAACTAATTCATATAATTCATCAATAAATGTTAATTTAATAAAAAAAACACGATTTTACATATATCAGTCTCAGATATAGGATAACACTTGACATGGGGTGCCTTGTGTAACAACCCAATTTTCAATGGGCTGTAGGCCCAATTCGTTGCCCAGAACGGGCCGTTTCAAAAGTGAAACGGGCCGTTCTGGAATAAGTTAAAGGCCCAAAATTTGAGAATCAGAACGGGCCGTTCTGGAGATCTACCACCCTCCCTTCCATCACCCTCCACAACCTCCCCACCTTCACACCCCTTCACACCCCTTCACACCCTTCTTTGTCGCACATTCAACATAGCATTCAGCCTCATATGCCTTCTAGAACAAGGGGCATTTGAGCCAACTGCGTAGGATTAGCTAGCCTTGCGGCTGCAAAAGGATTAGACATCCTGTTATGAAACTTAAATTAGGTGTTTTATTTTTTCTTAAATAATATTAATGGTGTTAATTATGAGTGGCGTTTAAAAGATGCAAACGTTGGTTTTTCTTTCTGCTATAAATAAGTGTAATATTTCATTTGGAACATGAATGAGAATATAGAGAGTTTATTTGCTCCCAAATTTATGCCTTTTTATTCTTAACAAATTGGCATCAGAGCTGTGTGCGTGAGGTGAGTGTGTGAGCCGACCTGCAAAAGTGTTGTGGTGTACCCAGCCCGAGAGAAGAGTGTCAAAAAGTCTTGTGAGGTGTGTGAGTGGAGCGTATACACTCAAGAGAGATGGCAAGTTTAACTAATGGCATTCCACTACCCAAGTTGACTAAAGATGTCAACTACGACAACTGGAAGGTGCAGATGAAGGCCCTTCTCGGCTCCCAAGATAACTGGGATGTGGTTGAGAATGGG